GATGGTTCAAGGATATTTGGGCCGAATAGGCGAGGCCCACGAAGATCAGAGTCAACTCAAATTCAAACGTTGAGCATTAAAGTCAAAGAATCAAAACGGACACATTTAAGAAGGAATAATTGTGCTTAATTACTCATTTTAATGTCGTTTCTCTATGTATAAATATAGAGGCCAATGGCCATGTAAAGGGGACCCTTCCTCTCAAGAGAGAAATATTATAGCAATTTTCGTAACAATTCACAAGTTTTTATACATTCATTTTTGTCTCTCAAGAATAATCTTTCCCACTTAATAAAATACTTGAGTGTGTGAATCCAACATCCACACTAGTGAGATTAGGATTTGAGAGATTAGCATAAATAGAGAGGTCGAGTCATGACCTAATTGTGTGAGAGTTGTGTGGTTTTAAGAGAGAACAAGAGCTTAAGTTTTGAGTTAGTTTCTTAAGCATAATAAAGTGAGTTTTACTTTGTTGATCTTGTAGTCTTATTCATACAAATCTCTATTCTATATTTGGTATAAGAGCAGAGCGTGTAAGATCCGTGAGACATCATGAGTGAAATTACGGATGGATCAAACACGGCTTTGGCGACGGTGAAAGACGGAGGAAGCTCATCATCCATCAAGTGTCATATGCTCACCGCTACTAATTACACAGTATGGGCCATGAGGATGAGAATCCTACTTCGTGTTCACAAGGTGTGGGATATCGTTGAGAATTCATCGGAGGACGAAGAGAAGAACGACATAGCCATGGCGTTGTTGTTTCAATCAATTCCCGAATCACTTGTCTTACAAGTTGGAAAGTCGGATACTGCTAAGAAGGTTTGGGAATCTATAAAATCAAAACACTTGGGCGCAGAAAGAGTTAAGGAAGCAAGGCTGCAAACCTTAATGGCAGAATTCGATCGTTTGAAGATGAAAGACACCGAGACAATTGATGACTTTGCAAGCAAGTTATCCGAAATCTCTTCAAAGTCAGCATCATTGGGAGAAACCATTGAAGAAAGTAAGCTTGTAAAGAAATTTCTCAAGAGTTTTCCTCGCAAAAGATACATTCAAATCGTGGCTTCACTTGAACAAGTACTAGACCTCAAGAAAATAAGCTTCGAAGAGATTACAGGGAGACTTAAAGTCTATGAGGAGCGTGTCACTGAAGAAGAGGAAGCTCAAAATGAACAAGGCAAGATGATGTATGCTAATATGGAGTCAAATGCCTCTCAGCCTACTCGTGAATTTGGAGGAGAATATAGAACCAGAGGACGTGGAGGAAGATTCTTTAATAGAGGAAGAGGACGAGGCCGGTATAATGGAACAAGAGATACCTCAAAAGTAACGTGCTATAGATGTGATAAGCTTGGTCACTTTGCATCTGATTGCCCGGACCGTTTGCTTAAGCTGCAAGAAACACAAGAAAACGATACAAAGAGCACAGTGGACGCAGATGAGTTAATGATGCACGAGGTAGCGTATCTAAATGAAGATAAGGTCCTACCTAGCAAGTATGAAACAAATTCTGGAGAATACAATGTGTGGTACCTTGACAATGGCGCTAGTAACCATATGACCGGAGATAAGCGTTATTTTTCAACTATGGATAAGACTATCACCGGAAAAGTAAGGTTTGGTGACGATTCTCGAATAGATATCAAAGGAAAAGGTACCATAGAATTTATCGACAGAAACGGAGAGCTAAGGAAGATGGTTGATGTCTACTTTATTCCCGAACTTAAAAGTAACATCATTAGTCTTGGTCAGGCAACAGAATCGGGTTGTGATGTGAGGATGAAAGGAGAGAGTCTAACAATGCATGACCAAGACGGGAAGCTACTTGTGAAAACATTGAGATCAAGAAATCGCCTCTACAAAGTAAGTATGGGAATCAAGGAGACAATGTGTTTATATACAACAACTCAAGTTGATTCAATAAGATGGCATGCAAGGCTAGGTCATATCAATCATGAAACAATGAAGACAATGATAAAAAGGGAACTTGTAATGGGAATCTCACTTGGTAACTTTGAGAAGGAAATATGTGGCTCGTGCTTACTTGGGAAGCAAACAAGGAAAGTTTTTCCTCAAGTTACAATGTATCGTGCCACTAAACCACTTGAGTTGATCCACAGGGATCTATGTGGTCCAATCACACCAAGCACGGTGGCGGGTAACAAGTATGTTTTTGTGCTTATCGATGACTACTCCAGATATATGTGGACGGTGCTGTTAAAGGAGAAGAGTGAGGCTTTCGAGAAGTTTAAGAGATTTAAGGCTGTAGTAGAGCAAGAAACAGGGGAAAAGGTACAAACCTTCAGGACAGATAGGGGAGGTGAATTTGTTTCTTTAGAGTTCAATGATTTTTGTGTAGTTTCGGGCATAAGAAGACATCTCACAGCTCTATACACTCCACAACAAAACGGAGTTGTTGAAAGGCGCAATAGAACTCTCATGGAAATGACTCAGAGCATCCTAAAGCACATGAGGGTTCCAAATCGTTTTTGGGGAGAAGCTGTGAGGCACTCCACGTATCTTTTAAACAGAATAGCTACACGATCTCTAAAGGACAAGACACCATACGAGATGCTACGACAAAAGGTCCCGAATGTTAATCATCTCAGAGTTTTCGGGTGTGTTGGATATGCGAAAACAGAGGCGTCACATTTGAAGAAACTGGATGATAGGTCACGTGTGTTGGTCCATTTAGGTACGGAGCCTGGATCGAAAGCATACAGGTTGTATGATCCGAAGAATAGAAAAGCAGTGGTGAGTCGCGACGTGATCTTTGATGAAACAAAGGGCTGGAATTGGAACAAAAACGATACGGAGAATGATAACACGAGAGAGCTTAGAATCGAGTTTGGTATTTTCGGGAATCATGGTATACTAGAAACAGAGCATATAAAAGAAACAGAGGTGCCAGAAGCTGTTGAAACCAACACCGGAATAGAAGAGAATGAGTCCACAGGACACGAAACCGGCGGAGAGTCCTCAGAGAATGAAAGCAACGACGATAGTGAGAAACAAAACCAAGCTGCTGCGGGAAGAATAGTAACTAAGTTAGGAAGAGTAGTGACAAAGCCTAAGTACCTACAAGACTATGTGTTGATGAGTGAAGCAGAAGGAGAGAGGCTGCTAATGGCTTTAAATGATGAGCCATGGGATTTTTCAGAAGCAAGAGAGTCAAAAGAGTGGTTGGCTGCGTGCAAAGATGAGATTCATTCAATTGAGAAGAACAAAACTTGGAATCTTGTTGAACTACCACAAGAAATAAAGCCTATAGGACTAAAATGGGTCTTTAAACTCAAGAAAAATTCTGATGGTAGCATAAGCAAGCACAAGGCCAGACTCGTTGCAAAGGGATATGTGCAGCGACATGGAATTGATTTTGAGGATGTATTTGCTCCAGTAGCACGGATTGAGACAATTCGTCTTCTCTTGAGCCTTGCAGCGTCTAGTGGATGGGAAATACATCATCTCGATGTTAAAACTGCGTTTCTTCATGGAGAATTAAAGGAAACAGTTTATGTGATGCAACCAGAAGGTTTTGTGGTAAAAGGACATGAGAACAAAGTTTATAAGCTTAGCAAGGCCTTGTATGGTTTGAGACAAGCTCCAAGGGCGTGGAATGAGAAGCTAAACCAAGTATTGAATGAACTTGAATTCAAGAAGTGCACCAAAGAGCCATCAGTCTATAGAAAACGGGTTGATCAACACATTCTTCTTGTCGCAGTCTATGTTGATGATTTATTTGTCTCAAGAACAAGTCTTAAGGTCATAGAGGGTTTCAAGAAAGAGATGGCGATGAAATTCGAAATGAGTGATCTTGGTAAACTAACCTACTATCTCGGAATTGAAGTTTGTCAACTTAGAGAAGGAATAGCTTTGAATCAAAGAAGATATGCACTAAAAATATTAGAGGAAGCTGGTATGACAGAATGTAATCCGGTGCATACACCAATGGAAGCAGGTTTGAAGTTATCAAAAGCCTTGGAGGAGAAGGACATTGATGCCACAAGCTATAGGAAAAATGTTGGTTGTCTTCGTTATCTACTACACACGAGACCAGACCTATCCTATTGTGTTGGTGTGTTAAGTCGATATATGCAACAACCTAAGGAGTCACATGGGGCAGCAATGAAGCAATGCTTGAGGTATTTAAAGGGGACAACTACTCTCGGATTGTTTTTTGGTAAAAGTAAAGAAGTACCAAGGTTAATAGGCTATAGCGATAGTAGCCATAACATTGATCCGGACGATGGGAAAAGCACAATGGGACATGTGTTTTATTTTGGTAAGAGTCCAATAACTTGGTGTTCGCAGAAGCAAGATGTTGTGGCAATGTCCTCATGCGAGGCATAATTTATGGCGGGAACGGAAGCTGCAAAGCAAGCTATTTGGCTTCAAGACCTACTAAGTGAAATCGTCGAAGCTCCTTGTAAGAAGGTTACCATACTTATCGACAATCAATCGGCAATTGCACTCACAAAGAATCCTGTCTTCCACGGCAGAAGCAAGCACATACATAGACGCTACCACTTCATAAGAGAATGCGTTGAGAATGGGCTAATCGAGGTACTACATGTTTCGGGTGAAGAGCAAAAGGCGGACATACTAACCAAAGCACTTGGGAGAGTCAAGTTCAAGGAAATGAGGAGTCTCATTGGAGTTAAGGACATGGCGCAAGAAGACTTCAAGCTTAAGAGGGAGAATGTTGGAGTAAACTTGAAGTTAACTTAAACCGGAAGCAACTAAACCGAGTTATGGTTTAGAGAGGAGAATATCAAATATATTAAGAGTTATCTAATATATATGTAATCCTAGTGAGATTAGGATTTGAGAGACTAGTATAAATAGAGAGGTCGAGTCATGACCTAATTGTGTGAGAGTTGTGTGGTTTTTAAAAGAGAACAAGAGCTTAAGTTTTGAGTTAGTTTCTTAGGCATAATAAAGTGAGTTTACTTTGTTGATCTTGTAGTCTTATTCATACAAATCTCTATTCTATACCGCTTCTCCTCTCTCTTCACGCAATAACGCTTTTGCGGTCGATGATAAATCTTGTATATGCAATTCCTAATTCGACTTTCGAATAGATTCGTTAGTTCCGCAGCTCTGGGAGATAATTCCATAATTCCATTTTTTAATTAAGAGGCAAGGAGGAATACCGCTTTAGATTTAGAAAAAAAAAAGTAAAGGGAGAATGCCGCTAACCTTGCTGCTGATCCCATTCCCGCATGAAGTCTACTAAGGCGTCGCCCGCCTTTTTTTCGGAACTTGGCCTTTCCTGCCCTTGTAAGGCAGAAATTTTGCGCATAACTTATACTCCCTCTGTCCCATTTTATTAGATGTTTAGACTAAAAGCACAGAAATTAAGAAACAATAAATGTTTTCTCATTTATGAAAATTCAACCAATAGAAGAGGATACTGCATAATTAAAATAATTAAAAACTATTAAACTAATATAAATCATGCATTGAAAGTAGAGAAAATCTTATATAATGGAACAAATGAAAAGGTCTAAAACATCTTATATATTGGGACAGATGGAGTATATAATAAACATTCCTATAGTTAATACTTAATATTACTTGTACTTTTAGTGAAGCTTTAAGGGTCAATTAGTGATTGTTTTCCTTGATTAAAAAGTACACAGTATAAATTATAAAACCATAATAAATTTTATATCTTTGTTTAAGATTAAAGAAAAAGGATAATCAATCAGATTATTGGCATCATTGCATGCAACAACACAAGATCCTTCTTTTTTTTTGGGTCTAATAACTCAAGATCCTTATGATGTACTTATATATATTGGTTTCATGTTTGTCACTTTCGTAGAAGAAGAGAATCAGTTCGGGTGATGAGCACGACCGGGTCTGCGATCCAAAACCGGGTAAGAGATGCAAGCGAGATCAGACGAAGTCATCGGTTGGAAATGCTAAGGTTTGGCTTAAAAGTTACATAAATAGTGTGTATAATTATGTATAATTATCTAATGGATTAGCTATTTGGATGAATAATAGTAACTAACAAATGCTATTCATAAAAATAGGTTAAGAAAGAAAAGGTTGGTGAAAGAATCACAGCATTGCAACAGTTGGTTTCTCCATATGGCAAGGTGGATCATTATACTAAAACAAGTTACCTTCTCTCTTTATTTTTGGTTCTTATATCTCTTATCAACATAATATTGATCGAAAATCAAAACCCTGAATTTAGGTGATTAAAGTTTGATGTAAACTTGAAACTTTTACTATAGTTACGTCATTTGGTTTAAGCTTGGAACATTACTTGTAGAGAGATATTTACGGAATAAACTTTACTGTTTTGGAGGTACATTATGTGATTTGGTAATTAAAATTAATTTACTTTCTACATTTTAATTAGAAGATCTAATTTGGAAAACTTGAATAGACAGATACAGCATCAGTGTTGCATGAAACAATGGGTTACATAAAATTCTTACAAGACCAAGTTCAAGTTCTTTCAACCCCTTACTTCAAACATAACCCTCTTGTAAGTCATACATCATCCTTTTGTATTCTCTTATTTATCTTTTGTTATACTTTTTTATGGTATCCTTTTTTTTTTGTTACACTATCAATAAAACCGGAAGATATGTATTTTTCCATGATTCAAAACGACTGTTTTAAGACTTAAAAAATGACTATTTTGACGGTTTTTTGACTGATGAATAGTTGATGTGTCGTCGTCAGGACGACGAAGACACCGGAGGAGTAAACCCGACGATGAAAGTGAAAGAGTTGAGAAGCAATGGTTTATGTCTTGTTCCACTAGCTTGGACCGTACACGTAACGGTGTTGATTTATGGTCCTCTGCTATCTATCTTGTCACCAGTCACACCAAAAGTGAACCAGTAGAGACTGTGGAAGTTAAATCTTATAAAGATAAGCTTTTTGATGCATACAAGTATTTTTGTTTGAGCGTTGATACATAATTAATGGAATGCTTAGAGTATCCCCATTGCCCGAAAAAACGATTTTCTCAGTGTCAGTATAAAGGATTTTTCCCTCGTGTTCGGCTATAGCGGGAACCCTGAAAGTAGATAACCTTCAAAAGCAAAAATCTTTCTTAAGTTTCATTCTTATTTTTATAACAAAAAATGCATTTGAATACTATCATCACCACCACAAAGGCACAAACCACCAAATTACATATCCATGTGATATAAAATTCAATATTATTACACACAAGTAAAGAAAGGATAAAAATTTGTGTTTCTTTTATTTTTTGTCAACACTCCATTTTTATTATTGCATTGTGATATTTTTCTTGGCAATTAACTCCAAGATCCAAAACAAGACTTTCAAGAACTTTAGCAGAAGAACATTTCATTATAAAATGTCTTAGCTTTGATTTTGAATTGCTGAAACAACTTCACCGATACAAGTAAACTTTCTCCTTTCCTTGAGAAGCATCTTCGCAAACTCGAGCGCACTTCTCTCGCAAACCGCTCTTCGCTTATCTTCTTCGATTGATTCAAAGTCCTCAACATGTGCCACTCCCACAATTCTCCTGTCATATCAAACCAACACTGTCAACAACATTTCCAAGTTTATATGATCGACACAGAAATTTCGTGATCTAACATTCTTTCACCTAATCATCTTTGCAGCGCCGAATCCGAGTGAGTCAAGCAACAAATTCCTCATGTAGTTTTCTTGAACAAGCTGCAAAACCCCGGGGTTGTTATAGATATCTGCAAGGTATGCTTCGCCGGGTCCATCTTTGTTTTGATCCCATAGCGCAATGAACCTTTTGTTAAACAAATCCCAAGTTTGTTCAATGCTTCTCAAGATCCACTGCTTGTATTCCTGAATTGTAGTGTTAGGTTGATTTAATTCTTTATACTTGCAACCGAGTAGACGATGAAAAGATAGAAAAAAACTGCAAATCAGAATTTCTGAATATGTTGCTTAATGCTTACTTTTCGATCATTTCCCTGAGCGGCGTGTCCATCTTGTGCAAAGAAAGCTAGTATCAAGTTACCAAGATAAGCTCCAATATCGAAACCCATCGGTCCAATAAACGAAAACTCTGGATCTATAACTTGTGTCGAATCTTGAGTAACCATGACAGAACCAGTGTGAAGATCACCATGTATTAGAGCCTGAGCTCTTTCACAGAACCTAAAAACATAATACACAATGGTGGTTCAGAGATATTAGCAAATCCTAGCGGGATTGACCGGGAAATGGGCAAAGACATACATCGATTTTAGCTCTGCGATTTCGAGCTTCAAGGCACTGTCTTCGCGCACAGCCTTAGCATCATCATCAAGATAAGGTGAAGTCCAGCGATTAAATGTAGAAACTCTATATGGGTCCGAAAACACAACTTGCTCCGTTAATCGGCATAACTCCACATTACCACAAAATTCAGTTACTACACAAACACAAAAGACACTCACTACAAGACACATCATAACGTTGACTAGTAATTAAAATTGATAAGTGAAGAGTTAAAGAACCTGCTCTTCTGTGCTCTGTGGTATCGTGATAGAGGAGCGAAGTGAAGAAGAGAGTCTTCGCCATGTAATCAGACATGTGGTCTGCAAGGAAAGGATACTCAATCCCAGCAATGAGTCCTTTACGGAGAATGATATGAGGAGGCTCGAGGTATCTCATTCCGATCAACGCCATTGTTCTGTCAAAATGGTAGACTTGAGGAACATGATCAGGTGATAAATTTCCATGCTTTCTCAAAGTTGTAGCTTCAAAATAAGCTCTTTCTTTCGCCATTGGCCAAGATTCACCGATACAGCGAATATATGGAAGTGCCTGTACATTTAAACGGTTGAAAAATCAAAGCTTTTCTAGTTTACATGAAGTCAGAGACATCAAAGTTTGTTCCTTTTATCCCCAAGATCAGAGCACTAGCAGAGTAAAGCACAACCCTTGAATTGTGAAGACAAATTGAATCATTTCGAGTCACAATCTCTTCAAAACAAGGTCAAAGATAACTAATTTGCAGACAACAGAGACAGATAGATTGAATCTAAAACACACATCACATAAACCCTAATTCCTAATCCATAGGTACTTTCCAACTAAAACAAAGAGATACGAATCTGTTATATGCTTAGATGATGAAATAGAGAAGCGAACCTGTTTGATGACAAGAGAACCAGAGGATCCGACAACGATGAAAACGAAATTGAGATTGCCATCTCCAACTTCTTTGATAACCAAATCATCGGACTTGTCGGCTCCGATCTTGGAAGAGAGAGCAGGCGTTGCCTTTATGTAGTCTACAAGAGACTTCTCGTTTAACGGCGTAAACTCCTCAAAAGACATCTTTTTGCTTCTCTGCTTCAGTTTCAAGCAGTGTGGAGACTGGAGAGATAAATCTGAGTTTTAAAGGTTCGATTTTTGCAAAAGATTCTTCTTTTGGTTTTGTTTCATGTCAGTGGCCAATGAAACGGCAACACTCACGCCTTTCTATTATTCGACAATAATCTCGTCAGTGTTTTGCAAACCAAATTAATTCAAACAAACACACCTAATATTGGTTCAGTTTTGTTCAGGTTTTCTGGTTAAGAACTTAAGCTCTTTAGAGTTAGAATTAATTTCGAATGACAAAAAAAAAAAAAATTTCTTTTTTCTTTTAGACAACTTGCATTATTTGAGTTTGTTAATGAAACCCATATGCCAATATGCCATATTCAAATTTTCAGAACAAATACATAATCAAGAGAAAAAGGTATTTCAATACTAAATTTTTAATTGAATAGACAAAAATTTACTTCATTTAATTGGATATTTGAAAAGATTTCATTTTAGTGTTGACCAAAAAAGAAAAGATTTAATTTTAGCTTTAAAAAATAAAAATATGATGAGAACAAATTTATTGTTTCTTTTTTACATATACTTTAATTAATATATAAAATTTGGTTTACATCTATATTTTTGGATATTTGTTCTTGCTTTAGTTAAATAAACTTATTTATTAAAAGCTAAAAAAAATTAGTAAACAACTGACATGTCAAATTTTTTGTTGAAGAAATCTAATCTATCAGACTATCTCTCCATAACCTTGGCTTTATATAGAGAAACATACAACATAACGAAAAATATATTGTAGCTAATTGAATACAACATCATGTTACAAAATATTGTTATGGCATTGTTGTTTGGAATAGGATATGTGTTCATCATCTTCGAGGAGTGTTTATCTTTTAGTAAATGCGGAATAGCACTTTTGATGGCCGTCAGTTTGTGGGTTGTGCGAAGCATCGAGGTATAAATTCATTGTAAAAAAGATATTTATTTTACATTTGGTTTCACCTCTATTGTTAGTGAATTGACGAAGGATAGCTTATACCAAAATAGCTCTAAAGTTATATATGTGATTAGTAATGTTGTGTAATCTCTTGTTTACAGACATCTCTAGAAATTGTTACTTTAGAGCTTCAACACGCAACAAGTGAAGTTAGTCAAATAGTGTTCTATATGCTTGGCGCGATGACTATTGTGGAGATAATTGATGTTCATCAAGGATTCAAGCTGGTTACAGATTGTATAACATCTAGGAAACCGAAGATACTTTTATGGATGGTATTGTTATTCCACTTCTGCTTTTAAAGGTTTTTTTTGCTTTCAAGCTTTTTCTTTGAGGATTTAAGTTTTCTTCTTTGCTCTTTCTCTCGCATTATCTTTGCTTTAGATTTATGGCTCTCTTTTCAGATTGGTTTTGCGACCTTTTTCCTCAGCTCGGTTCTTGACAATCTAACAACTACTGTTGTTATGGTTTCGCTACTGAGAAGACTAGTTCCTCCATCAGAATACCGCAAGTACGGAAATTTAATATTTGGACCTTTTTGTTTGTGTTTTTAGTTAAGGCTTTAAGCTGCTCTCAATGAGGAAATATATTGGTCTCTATAGTGAATCTCAAAGAAACACCAAATAGTGACATTCAATTTAGAGAGATTCTATATTTTTTGTAGAATAATATCGTCCCTAATTTTTTTTCTCCTTTTATATGGAACAATGTGATGTAGTATTAACGTTAGTATGTATGTTCATTAAAATTTATGGCAAGGCTTTTAGGAGCAGTTGTGGTTATAGCAGCAAATGCAGGAGGAGCTTGGACTCCTATTGGTGATATTACTACAACTATGCTATGGATAAATGGCCATATATCAACATTTTCGACTATAAAGGTTCTTCTTCTCAAGTTTCAATTCAAATTAGTTAACTAAAGAGCTTGAATATGCAAATGATGGAGATTTTACTTTCTTCTTTATTAGAACCTTTTTTTACCTTCAGCGATTTCTCTTGTTGTTCCACTGGCTCTCATGTCATTGACCAGGTTATAAACTCTCTTGAATCCTTGAAGGTTTAAACTTTTTCTTCTAATGTTTCCATTGTAGAAGCTGATGTGACTTCCATTTCTTTTTCGTCTTTCTCAGTGAGGTAAATGGAATGGGACTAAATACTCCTCCTACACCATTATTAGCTTATGATCATACTGCTCCAAGAGGAAAGCTTGTATTTGGAGTTGGTTTTGGAGCTTTGCTTTTTGTCCCACTATTTAAGTCATTAACCGGATTGCCTCCTTACATGGGTATCTTGTTGGGTCTTGGAGTCATTTGGATTTTGACAGATGTCATCCATTATGGTGACTTAGAGAGACAAAACCTAAAACTTCCACATGCTTTGTCTCGGATTGATTCACAAGGAGCTTTGTTTTTCCTTGGGATTTTGTTAGCTATGAGCAGGTAATCAAACTTTGGGCCAAACCTACTAACTTTTCTTTTTCTTTGATAACTTGAAATTGCATAATCTTGCCATTTCATTTTTCGTCGTAATCTTGCCATTTAAGGGATTCACATTGGCCAATCATAATTGTAATCGCAATGGGAAGACTTGAACCATGGTCCCACAACCCCCAAGATGTTCATTATAACCACTAGACTACCATGAATTGGTTTCGATAACATGTAACATTTGTTATGCGCAAGATCTTGATATTGTTGTTGCATATTTTTCAGTCTTGATGCGGCTGGGATTCTCAAAGTGATTGCGAACTATCTTGATGCTCATATAGCCAATGTTGAACTGATAGCAAGTATTATTGGTGTGGTGTCAGCCATCATAGATAATGTCCCATTGGTTGCAGCAACTATGGGGATGTATGATCTCTCAAGATTCCCTCAAGATTCTGAGTTTTGGCAACTCATTTCCTTTTGCGCTGGAACAGGCGGTTCCATGCTTATTACTGGATCTGCTGCTGGAGTAGCCTTCATGAGTATGGAGAAAGTCAATTTCTTTTGGTATTTTCGTAAGGTGAGACTGAGATTACCTCTTTGGCTCAGTTCAACATAACAAACAAGATCAACAAATCGATAACAAGAGTTCTTTTTTATTTTCTCTTATCTTTTCCATGCAGGTGAGTGGTTTTGCTTTTGCTGGTTTTACTGCGGGTATCGTGACTTACCTGGTGGTTCACTATCTCTCCCTGTTTAACTTATAACAACCATAGTTTATACTTTATATCCCTTTGCTCACTTATTCATAGGCTACATGCACAAACATCAAGAGGTGTACTAAAGTAGTAATTATGTATGAACTGTGTAGAGTTCATTGTAAAAAGTAATTACTGCATCTGTTATTTTCTTCGTTTATTTCTTTTTTCGTTCATCCAAATGAATATTCGTTTTGTGTTAGTGTTTAACTTTGAAAGTAAATTTGAGTAAAAACTAAAAATAAGAAATCTTGATATGTTCAAATTATATTGATTCTTGTTTTACTTTGAATTCATAAAAATTTGTGATGTCGATTTTCTTAGAAAGAATCGGAGGGGACGATATCGTTTCCATATCTACTGAGAACTTCAAAGTGATCCAGCAACCTTGATACTTGATTTTTTTTTGTCAATTCTCCATTTTGGAAGAAAATTTTCTAAACTTCAAATTTTTGATCAGATTCACTCTACAACACAATTCACTTAAATTATTGTTTAAGGTCAGTTTTGTATTTTGGAACTCTTTTGTATTATTAATTATGATATTTGGTGCAATCTAAAAATGCTGCGAACCTCAAGTAAGGTAGGTTCATGTACCTCAAATAAGGTAGATTATGAAAGCGATTCTTTAGTTTGAAAGTAATGGAATCTTACCTAAAAAAGCAGTGAACCTCAAGTAAGGTAGGTTCATGTACAAATCTCATGTAAAGCTACATATACTGTTTAAAGTCAAGAAACCATAAATTTAATTCCTTTTGTTAGAAAATCTCACTCTTTCCACAAATTACAAAACTTTAGTTAAAGTAGTTACAAGTGTGAGGTTTCGAGCGCAAAGTCTCAATGCTCCCAAGTCACGCGACAATGATACTATGAATGGAATATCAGAGTGAATAGTATAAAATATTTGATGGCTAGGACAATAGTCAAAGCCCTTAATCCCGGATTTGCATATGGCAAAATAATTATGTGATTTTGCAGATTATATTGCCAATCACATTTCAATAAAATGTACAAACTTATTTACGAATTTTAATTATTTGAATCAAGGATTTTTTTTTAAATAGTTGGGTCTATTAGGAATGTGACCTAACTTAACCCAAAAGTTAGCTCAAGAGTTAAGGGTTGCCACATCCTATATATATTGCCCAAAGATCTTAATCTCAAGCAATGTGGGACATTTTAATAGGCGTCCTCGAGATGTGGGTGAGAAACGGTCCAACGGGGAACAGTCCAAGCCCAACATCTCGGAAATACAACAAGACATGCCACTTGTTTGGCCCACATATGTGAGAAACCATTTTTTGTGAGAAATTTGCTTGTTAGGCCAACCTTGGGCTCTGATACCATATTAGGAATGTGGTCTAACTTAACCCAAAAGCTAGCTCAAGAGTTAACTGTTGCCACATCCTATATATATTGCCCAAATATTTTAATCTCAAGCAATGAGTAATATTCTATTAGAGCATCTCCATCAATAATTTCTCAATGAGAAATTCTCTATTATAAAAATAAAAAAAATCTGAAAAGTAAGAAAGAGATGTTTATAAGTAAAAAATAATTATATAACTGAAATTTGTTAAAATATTAATTTTTTTTTTGTTTGAAAAATTCAAAGAGTATCTCACTGTTGGAAATGGTCTTATGGTCACGTCAGTCCACCTTTTTCCCACAATTTCGTTAAAATCCAATATATATATAGTTTGATTGTATAACTATCAACGTAAAGATATAATGTCAATTCTCTCTTGGAGCCAAACTCAATACTTAAGTTTACGTGAGCCAAACTCAATTTACGTGAATATGATCTCTCATTCTTGAAATTTGAGGAGGTGGCGGCAAATCAATAGTTCCAAAAAATAAAGAAAAAAAGTTATACATGCACTATTGATATTTTTTTATCCCCACGCCACACTCATCATTCTCATACACTATAAATACTCTCAAACCCTATGCCAAACTTTACCATGATCATCATATTAACTACATATAAATATTAATATTTTCGTTTTACGTACAACACATCATGGTGATGGCTAAGAACCTTACCAAGTTCTACGTAGCGTTTCTCGTTATTCTGATAATGGTGGGATCGGTGTTACTAGCCATTGAAGGACGACCGGTCAAGGATGGTTCGAGATCGATGACACAATTGAGAGATTCATCTGTGTTTAATGGAAGCGTAATGTCTTCGTTTAAACCAGTCGAGTCTTCTGTACAAGATTTGTCGTGGTTAGCCACAGTGAAACAGTCCGGGCCAAGCCCAGGGATTGGGCATCGAGCCAAGGGCTACAATATGTTTGGACGAGCCAAAGATTCTGGTCCTAGTCCTGGTGTTGGACACTAAAGTAACAAACCTCGTGAATTAAAATTATAGATAATGCAGATGTAACAACTTTATCATGTTTAATAGCCTCTAAGATGTAATCTTTTTTTCCATTGTTTATGTTTATCTCCTTTACTTCACAATCACACATGTCTCTACATAATAATCAGTTAATCAAAGTCTTACTTTTAAGATACAAAGGGAGACTTTTTATTTTATTATTTTATTATTATGTCAAATACAAAGGAGACTTAAAGTCGATAAATCCGAGGAATTGATCAAGTTTGTGAGAGGTAGAGTCCGTTTCAAAGATGTGCACAAGAAAAGGGTCCCGAATCCATATTTATTTTACAAAGTGGAACTACAAAGTTTTTAGAAATTCCCTAGGCGTTAATCTGTGTTGAGAGATAGTCTTGTATCAATTAATCGAGATTTTTTGGTGAAATTATATTTTTTAGATGTTTTCTATATCAATAATTTAAACTATATATTAATCGGCGGGATAGACCAAAAAAATTATTGGCTTTCCATGAACAATATTTTGAGCAATTTGGACAATAGTCAATAACGGTACCCATTGTTGCAAAATGGTCACTACAAGAAAACACTGGCAAAACCAACGGATTTATTAACGAACTCATATCCGTCGGTATTTGCTGACAGAAAACAGACGGAATAACGACGGAATTATTTTCGTCGGGAATCCGTCGGTAATTACCGACGGATATGAATTTGTCGGGAGTTTTTCAAAATTACCGACGGAATAGCGACGGATTTTAACCGTTTGGGTCTCCATTAATAATCCATCAGTTATCCGTCATTTCATATTACCGTTGATGTAGCCGTTTTATAGCCGTTTAAATTTTGATATTACCGACGGAATACCGACAGCTTACCGACGGGTTCAGAACCAATTTGTCCATAAATATACCTCAATACACTCTTTCACTACAAAAAAAATTGAATATTCTTACCAAAAAATTGTGACCATTTTTCCCGTCAAAAAATTGTGACCATTTACATACTAAATTATGACGTATTTATTTCGTCATAAAAATGTTACAATTTCGTTACAGCGTTTTGTAACTACCCTGTCACAATTTGTTACTATTTTTGTGACCTTTTTGAGACATACATGGATTTGTGACGATTTTATTGTGACATTCTAGAATTGGTGTCAGTTTCGTCACAATAGAATTATTGTGACCGAATCTTTATATATTGTGACGATAATAATCGTAACAATATTCACTTTTTATTGTAGTGTTTCTCAACAAAAATCATTCTCACTACCACATTTATTCTAAGAAAATATAGAAACACAAAAAAAATATCTTCTTCTTATTTTCGATCGTGGATAGACGAACCAATGTACGATCCCGAATCGACTTTATTGAAGGATGAATATGCACGAGGTGTAGAGGAGTTCATGGAATTAGCTTGTCAGCAACCCGAAGCCAAAAAAAACCCGTAAGTTAACATGTCCATGTTCTATTTGCCGGAATTCCCACAATATATTAGGATTGATTTAGTTTGAAATCACTTGTATTGTAATGGTTTTATGGAGGGTTACAAGTATTGGTTTCTCCATGAGGAAAGACCGGATTATGTTAGTACTAGCGAACCATATGTTGCAGATAGCCTAGAAGAACATAGAACGGAAGTAGATTTTGGCGTAGGGACTGTTCACATGGTGAATGATGTGTATAGGGAAAATATGCAGTCAATGGGTGAAGATAGAGATACGGTAGAGGAACCAAATTTAGAAGCTCAAAGGTTTTTTGTTATGTTAGATGCAGCTAAGCAGCCGCTATATAGAGGTTGTAGAGATGGTCATTCGCCTTTATCATCTGCAAGTAGATTGATGACCATAAAGACTGACTACAATTTGGTCGAGGGATGTGTAGATGCGATAGCAGATTTCGTAAAAGATATTTTATCTGAGGATAATCTTTCACCAGCTTCATACTACGAGATACAGAAACTGGTAGCTGGTCTTGGTTTACCGTATCAGGTGATAGATGTGTGCATCGATAATTGTATGGTCTATTGGAGACAAGATGAAAACCGTAAAAGTTGTCGATTTTGTCGCAAACCGCGATATCAAGAAACAAGTGGTAGAGATCCTGTTCCATATAAGCGGATGTGGTATTTACCGTTAGCGGACAGGTTGAAGAGGTTATATCAATCTGAGCGAACGGCAGGGCTAATGAGATGGCATGCAGAGCATAGAAGAGGAGAAGAGATTACTCATCCTTCAGATGCAGAAGCATGGAGATATTTTCAATCTGTTTATCCGGATTTTGCGTATGAGCCATGCAACGTCTACCTCGGATTATCTATAGATGGTTTCAACCCATTTGGGAAGCATGAAAGACAGTATTCGTTATGGCCAGTAATTGTAACAACTTACCGCCATTTTGTGTATGCGTCGAGAGTTTCTAATCCTCTCTATTCTTGTTCCCGGTCCCTAACATCCTAAGAGATCGCTTGATGTGTTTCTTTAGCCATTAATTTATGAGTTACAAATGTTATGGAACCAAGGAGTTGAAGCGTATGATGTTTCATTGCAGCAGAACTTTCAGATGCGTGTTGTCCTTTTGTGGACCTTTAGCGATTTTCCAGCATATCGAATGTTATCTGGATGGACAACTCATGGAAGGTTATCGTGTCCTTATTGTCAAGATAACACCGATGCATTCCAACTTAAGCACGGACGAAAGACATGTTGGTTTGATTGTCATCGAAGATTTCTCCCGAATGATCATCCATATCATAGGGCCAACTCGTTATTTAAGAAGAAAAAGAAAGTCTTTTATGGTCCTCCTCCTGAGTTAGACGGCGATTATTGTTTGACTCAGTTACGAGACTTTGGTGCTGAGAGAACTCCCGATTGTGGTGGTAACGGACATGCTCCTGTTGATGGTGCTGGTGAACATCACAATTGGCATAAGAAGAGTATTTTTTGGGAGTTGTCATATTGGAAAGATCTTTTGTTAAGGCATAATCTTGATGTCATGCACATTGAGAAGAACTTCTTTGACAACATGATGAATACCATGCTAAATGTCCTAGGAAAGACAAAAGACAATTTAAAGTCTAGACTAGATTTGCCAGAGATTTGCTCTCGTCATGAGCTTCACGTAATGGCGAATGGCAAATGTCTAATCCCTGTGTACTGGTTAGATGCAACTTCAAAGCAACAGTTCTTCGAGTAGATTATCCATGATGTTAAATTCCCAGACGGATATGCATCTAATTTGCGTAATTGTGTAGATACTAGAGAAGGAAAGTTTATTGGAATGAAGAGTCATGATTGTCATGTTGTGATGCAGCGCCTTCTCCCATTTGCCTTTGCACATCTTTTACCAGAAAGCGTCCACGACGCAATTTCAGGTACATTTAAATATTTTAATTTAATAATTAATTTCTCATACTTTTGATTTATATATTTGTTAAATTTTATAACTAATATTATAAAATAATATATTAATTTTTAAAAAATTAATATTATATATTAAATTGCAGGTGTTGGTGCATTCTTCCGTGATCTATGCACGAGATCACTTACAGTGGATGGTATTCGTAATTTGGAAAAAAATATACCGATTATTCTTTACAATCTCGAGAATATATTTTCACCGTCTTTCTTTAATGTTATGGAACATCTAACAATCCACCACCCACGAGAAGCAGCACTAGGTGGCCCTGTTCAATATCGGTGGATGTATCCTTTTCAGCGTTACATGTTCCATTTAAAGAAAAAGGTAAAAAAATTGAGCAAAGTCGAAGGTTCTATTGTGGCGCAAAGCATCAATGAAGAAGCCTCAAATTTTGGCGAATATTACTTTTCGTCTGAAGTTTGTACGAAGAATAGACATCCTTCACGACATGATGATGGCGGTGAGAGATCAACGTATCCGGTATACGACCCAAACTTGTTTACAGAAATCGGACGAGTAAGCGGAAAAGGTAAAAAACAGAAGCTATCAGAGCAAGAGTATGCTCACTTGCACATGTACATTCTCACCAACTGCGATGACCTTATTAATTAGGACATAATATCCCACATCGGAAGTTGGAGAGAATCCTAAGTAATATATAAGGGATATGGGCCACTCCACTCATTGCCAATTGATTTTGAGTTGAAAGCCCATATTCTAATAGACCTAACATGTAACATGTAAGTGTTTTCTCTAATTAGTTTATCTTTTTCTATATACAGTTGTTCTTTAGATTAAAGCTTTTTCGATTGGATTTTTATTAGCTTCGGTGGATAGCTATCGGTTAAACATATATGTGTTAGATTTTGTTGAATTTAGTCATATATGTGTTAGATATGTGGAATTGTTGAATTAGTTTTCCAATTATTGTGAATCTATTGATTTTGTTGAATTTAGTTATATTTTCTTTAGTATAAACGCTATAAAAATTTCTTGTTTTGGTTTATTGTGAGGAGTTTTATTTATCCACTTTTCTTTTTTATAAATTTGATGACGTAATTCATAAATAACCAATTTCTTCTTCTTACAATTTTTTAGGAATTACGGTAACTGCCGTCGTCATAACCAATCAAGATCTACTCAAGGTCGTGAAGAACCATCCCGTTCTAATTCACGAACCCCTAGTCTTAGTCCGGAGTCGCCAACGTCAGAGACTCCCATGGAGATGAGCATTGAGGACTTCGTCTCTCAACCAGGAAGAGAACGACTCACAAAGCTCCATCCCGATAGAATCGATCATGCAACATGGTAAGTGTTTGAATTTTAGTTCACGTTTTCTATTTTTTTTTAATTATTAGTATAAATTTATAAAATTCTAACTTTTTTAGGTTTGAGAGTTCGGGAAACGGGATAAGCAAATCTGTTTTGAAGATGATGCAAGGACTTCTCAAGGATCCATATCCAACTTACTCGTCAATGCCGGGGAAGGAACAAGATTTGTGGTTCAAGCAATTTGCGGTAAGTAGTTTTTTTTTAAGATGATGCTTGTATTTTTGTTCTTTAATTAATGTACTACACAACATAATTTTTTCTTTTGTAGCAAGAGTTTAATTGGGATCGGAATTTGATGCTAGAGGTTCGCAAAGCGTTTGACAAAGATATATCTTCTCGTTATCATGGCACAATCAATGAGTGGAAGCAAAGGTGGGTCAAAGATAAGAAGCCTAGAGGGGTGAATGATAAAGCTTTTGAAGGGTTGCAACTACACTGGGTGAAACCGGAGACCCAAGCAAAATCCAAGACTAACTCCAAAAATCGCAAAAGCGATCGAGGGGGAAAGGAATAGCTACGCACAACTCGGGTGCAACGAGCCTTACACCCGAGGAGAACAAATTGTAAGTTTGAAATTTTTGAGATATTTCTATTCAATATATATTATTAATATTTTTTAATTTTGGTTTTAGGCCGAGAGAGATGGTGTGTATCCGGATCATCTCTCGGTGATGGAAGATACACACACCAACAAAAAAACCAAACAACTTCAAGATCCGGTTGCAAAGGAAGTTGTAGAGAATTCAAAGAAGAGGAAGCAAGAATATCTCCTTACCCAACTATCTATAGACGGTGTCGAGAATAATGACGTACCAATGGAGATTGTCAACAAAATCGTTTTTGAGGTACTTATGTTTTTTTTAATTTTTAATTAATCATATATATGAAAGGAGACTATCTCTCTCCATATGGTCGCCACATCAGCATTTTAGGCTTTTCTGGAGCTTACACATCAGCTTTTTTCCCTTCCAATCAAAACATTTCGTTAATATAAGTCAGCTTTTATTTTTAACACATCAACCTCTAATTATAAATGTGTAGGACTAAACAAAATAGCCCATAATAGATGGGCCATATGTGTTTAAAATATGACAATTGGTGTAACAGAAAAAAAAACTAATCAAAAGTTTAGACCATGTTAGCGTAACAGAAAAATCTGACAGAAGGGAAACTGGATGAATGATTTTTAGAGTAGGATAAAAAAAACCTTCATCTACGGTAACGTATATTAACTTAATAAGACTTTTCAAACCAGATAAAAGCAGTACAACCAGGGAAAACTTGACTAAACTCTAAATAACAGTCCGAAGAGTTTAAGGTACACAAGTTAGACTAGCCATGAACAGTTCACAATGCTGTAAATTTCTAAAATTCAATCCTACTGCATCTATCTAAAAAACATTTAAATAAACACACCTCATGAACATGAAGACGTGGAGGGTCTTTAGCCAACTCAATGACAAACTTTATCAACGATCTGAACCCTTTCTCTGTAGATATAAGATAAGGTTGATAACCATCTGCCTCCAAAACAACCTGAAAAACAAAGATAATTTTGACAACTCAAGTCTCAAAACTTTTTCCGTGCAGAAAATTAGGACAGAACCAGACACCCACCCTTCTAACACTGTTCAAATCCGGATCAGTGTAAAAAACCCACAAAACTCGCAAAACTTGTTTTTCTTTGTCCTGCAAAACCCACAAGTAAAAAAGAGTTCCAAATGGATGAATCGACTTCAGTCCCAAAGTGTTGTTGAAAAAATTTTAATCCTTGAGATGTGTAGACCATAAAGAGGACGACATGTTAGAAATATACCTCTTCTCTTTTGAAGGCTTTTGCATTAGGGCGACAAGAATGGTTCATACAGCTCTGTAGAGGGAAGAAAGCCGTTCCTAAACATAATAATGTCAAATCTTGGTTTCAAGTTACATAACTCCTCTGTTTTATGGTGACAATGTTCCTTTCATTTCTAACCTTGGCAACAGACCGAATACTCATCACCAAGAGCATCTAGAAACAGTCTCGTGATTTCCTTGGCTTCTTCCTAGGATAATGAGAATAAAAAACTGGTAAGAGTCGATAGATTTTGGTCAAAGAACAATAAGAATGGGCCGAAAGCGTTATTCTGTTCACACCTTTTCGGCATCAGGAAGATCATAAATATACAAGAAATAGTCCTCTACTGGTAATGCTACCACCAAATCTCCGCCAAAGATCAAACATATTGTGGGTAAATTCATTGTAAATGTAAGGATATAAACAGGAATTGACGACTCTTACAGGTTACTCAGCTCAAACATGCCGATGCTATTCCCTTAGATTTCGAGTGAGAAAACTTCTAGGGTCAAGGAATGACCCTCAGTGAGTAAAGTATGAAACAAAGAAACAATGGTACAACATATATCAAAATGATGATGGGGATACGAGCTTCAGATTCTTTGTCAAATATGGCTGTCTTCAGGAGCTCCAAATACCGGAGATAAAACAATATAATTCAGTTGGCAAAACAGTCAGGATTTGATATTGATGCAAATGGCGATTTGTAATCTCTACACAACATGGCAAGCAAATTCAACTTATATACTCAAACACATACCGTACATGCAAAATTCTTAATCTCCATCCTCAACGCTCCTTCATCAAAATGATGAACATCATCTGGCAATGCGATGCAGTCCCACCACCTACGGAAAGAGTTTTTAGATATATTAACGAAAAGCCTATTATGTATGATCATGAGTTACCGTATGTAGATTGGATCATATTCTATCACATTTACAAACAGAGGGAAAGAAAACCAAGTAATTCGTCTTCTTCTTCAACATTCAAGATATATCTAATGGCAACATCAATATATACCTTCTTTTGTATCCAATCGATACTGGTTTCCATGCCTCCAAGAGTAGCGACTTCTTTGGCTTAATCTGTTTCAGTGAATAAAAATTCAGAAATCGTAGCTCATATTCTACAGTCAAAACCTTATTTCTAGGAGGCTAGAAGAAATTATGATTCCTAATCAGATTAGAAAACTATCCAAGACGAAGATTCAGCTACGGTGAAGAAGAACTAAAGCAGAGAGGAGAAAAGAATAACCGTTCTGATTTTCTGAAGAATTAGGGTTTATTTTGTTTTAAGTATCAAAACCCTCAATTACAAAACAATTTAGGTGTTCCGAGATTAACCCGGTCGGGTTGGTTAACGTTAAACCAGTAAATCAAATTGAGGAAAGATACTAAATACGGTATTGGAATATAATCAGAAGAATCTGAGGACGGACGCATAAAGAAACCGACGCTTCTTTGTATCGACGATATCAATATGATCTGAGACTCAAATTCCGGTGAGAACGCGAGGGAGATGGATGATGTATAGTTGGAATTGTAGCGTTAGTTCGAGTTTGCCCAACAGGTGAAGTCAAGTGTGAGATTATCGGATCGAAATGTAGTCGCATTGGTTCAGAAGCTTCAGTAGCTTGGCGTTATAGACTTTGATATCCTTCATACTGTCACCGGAAAATAATTCATCACTCAGGTACTGATTCTATTTCCTTACCGGTGTCAATTTAAACTCCAGAAGAATCAACCGAGGGTTTCGCATAAAAATTTGGTATCATGTTGTGAGTAATGTGTTCATGGAGTGAAAATATGATAACTCTGCTTTTTGCATGACGAAATTCACTCGGAAAAAAATGAAATGGTTTGATCGAGTATTTGCTGAACATTGGGAAGGTTTGGGTGTAGTTTTTTTGAATGAAATTGATGAAAGAAAATACTCGTGAGATTAGTAATTTGAGTTATGAAGATTTTAGCTCAGGATTGCTTTCAGTTTCTGTAGTCATTAGAATGATGGAGACATATCAATAGGTTTATCTCCTTAATTGCTACACATTAGTCTTAGTTTTTTGATCTGGAAGTAAACACTCTGTTTCTGCTGCAGGTCCTGCTGAATTATGCTAAGTCAGCAAAGGAGGCTGAAGAAGATTCTAAACAGGTGATTCATTTCCCTGTATTAGAGTGCAATTTACATTATTCATGCCCCAAGTATTTAGAATGTTTGTAATCAGCTTTGGTTTTCAGCTCTTAGCTTGTTTTTCTGCTTCGGGATATCGCTTTCGACCAAATAATTCATAAGTGATAGGACTGGAAGGATGTTGTTATTGGAACGAAAACAAATGTAGTACCTTTCTGAGTTTTACGATAAAAATTCCTTTAAACAGTTTTGGTTATATTAATAAAAATACATTTAATATGAACAAAGTAACCTATACTTGAATTCTACGGAAGCAACAAGGATATATTTTGACTCAACATTTGATGTCATCCAAAAATTTACAAAAGAGTAAGGTTTAAATAAATTAGCTAAAAAGTAACACATTTACTTATCTACACAAATTTTAACAATTGTTTAATTATCCATATAGGATGGGAATAGAAGAAGGAGAAACATATGAACATGCAGAAACCATGTGGGAGACATGAAAAAAGAAGAAGTATCCATCGCTGAACTTTACGACTATATATCCAAAGCTAACGAACAGGTATTTAACACAATAGAGTATTTTAATTTATCATCACATATAAATACATGTACAACTAACTAAACTTGATAAATCTACAACACTTTTAAAAGACTCAGGATGCTGAATTTTTTTGCAACGCATATGTTGTTGGGGTGCTACAAAGAAACGGATGGACATACAGATCTTGCAAAGATTGTGGACGGAATTTAGAGAAAAGGACAACACTACTACGATGCAAAAGTTGTGTTACGCCTAATGAGGAAGGAATTCTTAGGTACGCTATAATTTGCTTATAGCTATTTTTAATAAATTGCAAACACAACGAATTAAAGATATAACAATTTAGAAATTTTTACATTTAAATACTATTATATACAACTATTTCATAGGTATCGAGTGGAGCTTGATGTTCATGATGGAGAACATGGTACGACATTTGTGATTTTAGACAAAGAAATGAGAAAACTTACAAACAAAACGGCAACCACAATTATGGACGAGAAGGTAAATAAAATCTTAGGAAAGTAATTATCATATAATATTGCAAATTTTACTCATTTTTAATAACAATTAAACCTAAAAACAAACATTTTTTGCAGGGCAACAAAGGTAACAACAATATCTTACCAACATGTTTAAGTGATCTTGCTGGCAAACATTTCCGTTTCCAAATAAGAGTATCTCCTCTCAACTATACCCCCAAGAATCAGAATTTCATGGTGTCAAACATAAGTGATAAAAACTTTGAGAGGTAAATATAATATAAAAAAAAAAAAATTTACATAAACATATATAACACAAAATATTCATTATAGGGCTGGAGCACATTTGAGGAACAAAATCCCATCAAGAAGCCGACAACAACTTCTACAATCAGTTAAAGTGGAGGGACAAAAAATGGAGACCAAGAGAAAATGGAGTTTAGAAAACAATTCTCTTATAAAATACCTCAATACAACTGTGGACATGATCTTTTCGAGCCAATAATTTTGTTTTACATTCAAGTTTAAAGTTTTGAGGATATTTGTTTTTCTTTTTACATTAAATAAGTTGTTCTAACTAAAACAAAACAAAACATTTTAATTAGAGTTGATAAACTCCATATAAAATTAAAAATTGTATAGTTATTATACTAAAATAATAATAAAAATAATATTAAACTATATCTTAAAAGCTAAATGAGAAATTTTATTTAAAAATGTATATATTAGTCTCAAACATGCAACGATATACAAAAATAAATTTTTAAAAAATACTAAATAAAAAAAGACAAATACATAATTTTTATAAAAAAACAGGAATCTAATAATATATACATATAAATTTAAATTAATTTTCAAAAAATATAAAAACAAAAGTTATAACAAAATCCCGCGCGTAGCGCGGACACTCACCTAGTATCTCATAATATATTAAAGAATATTTGATTGGTATGTTGAGATTTTGTTGCCATATAGATCTATGTTGCGTCTCTACTCTAGCATTTTATATAATTTGTTTTTGATACATACTGTTATATCTTTTTTTTCGTAGGAAACTCCAAAAAGAAAGGGTCGGATATTTGGGTTAGGAAAACTAGGTGTAGCTCGATATAAATCTCATTCCACATCGTCGTGTTCATGTGATCCCATGCTCGAGGCGTCTCTCAAAGAGAAAGAAGCACGGATTGAAGCTTTGGAGACTCAAATGGCCGAAGAGAAAGCCGAGAACAAGCGCCGAACCGATGAGATGGCAAAGGAGATAGCTGAAAACAAGAAAAGTTCTGAGGCGATGATGCGTTTCATGGGAGATATGCGAATGCGGTTTCCCAATTCTAGTTCTTAGTTCTTCATTTAAATTCTCGTTTGAATACTTTATTTTGGATATAATATTATTTCAATATGAATGGTTTTTCAATTTAGTTATTTTAATTTAAATCATTTTTAAATTTAATTGTTTTTAGTTTGAATTAATTTTAATTTCTTTTTGTTAAATCAATTATAAAACCAATTATTTTTGTTAAATCAATTATTTTAATAAACCGTCGGTATCCGTCGGGCATTTTCAACACCGTCGGTAATCCGTCGGTTACTTTCCCTCGGTTTTTCGTCGGGCGTTTTCCATCATCGTCGGTAATCCCTCAGTAATAACGGCACATAAATGCATCGGTAACTCGCCGGTTCGTCGTCGGTAACAACCATCAGCCATGTCTCAGTTAACCGTCAGTATTGATTCGTTTCAAGTTCGTCGGGAATATAGCCATCGGTAATCTGTCGAGCTCTCCGACAAAATACCGACGGAATATCTATTACCGACGCTCTAGAACCGACGACCATAATTTGTGGCACATGAAAAGCTATATGGTCTTTACCGACGGATTATGAACGGTTTGGTTCGTCAGTTACACGATGTTTTCTTGTAGTATAATGTGCATTATGAGTTAGCAAATGGTGGGATGAAGTTTATGTAAAAGGAGATGAGTAAATGTTCTAGGCCCATGAAATTTGTTCTTGACACTATGAATTCATAAGCAATCTCTTTTTATTCAGGGCTAATCGATAAAAAAAATCTCTTTATAGTTGGTGGTTGTGGGCAATATCATGAGAGGACGAGATCTTTGGGTGCACAATGCCTCTAACTGCAGTAGTCCTTGTAACACCTGCATACAAATTTCAATGTTACAAAAAGTGACTATTGTGAAATCGAGTTTAGAAATGAAATTAATACCTTTCAATATTTTTTTTCATAGCAACACTAATGCATATTGTAAATAATTTCAGATATAGCTAGGTTATACTTGCTTTGACAGAAATTTGAGATCCAACGGTTCAGGCGGCTACTTCAAATTTCATACACATGATGTGTGGGCTTGGGCTTTTATATTTTCTTAAATAGAACAGGTTTTGAGTGGGCATATTTATTTTACACATGGGCTTATTTGGGTGAATCAATGAGTTTCATGTGGGGTTTTCTTTTTAGATTTTAATCGCTTGAGTTACTTTTTAATCAATTCGTTTGTTTTTTTAAGTTGGGAAAACCATATAGCTTTAATTAAGTAATTGTGATAGTTGCAAATAATTTTAGGAGGATTATAACGACAAAACAAAAAGATTAGATATTTACATTGGATTATAGTCTATTTAATTTATAATTTATTTTAAAGTCTTTTTATATTACTAGTTGAACCAAATATTACACAAGACAATCACTATATGTTTTTTTTACAATCACTATATGTTATATAATACGTGATATATTTCTTAGATGTACTTTTTGTTTTTTGTGGCAGCATATATATATATATATATATATATATATATTTATTCATTAGCTGTATATATAATTTGCATATAAAAATCTGTTGAGATTTAAAACATTTCACTTTTTGAATAACACATAAATCTTTAGTGAATAGGCTTTTCTTTAGTTGAATAAAATTAAACTTTGAATCTATTAAAAATGATTCATTAACATAAAATTTAATAGTTTAATTTCTCGAAATCATCTTTAACAGAAGCCAATAGTTTTTTCTCAGAAAGTTTTGTTTCGTCATTATAAATTTCTAACGTAAACGCTATCTGAAATATTGTGACAATGAAGAGAGTATAAATGGTTAATATAGATGTAATATCAAAATATAGACCGTTGATTCCCCAAACAGATCCCAAAGTGGCTATCCATAAAATACAGCCAGGCCCAAGCCCATCAATGCCGTATTTCAATTGAGCCAGTGAGATTGTAGCGATGATGACACTTAACGTAAGGAAAAAAATATCCCATCTTTGCCATGTGTAAGAGTTACAAAACATAGATACACTCACCATTAATGACATGATGGCGAGAAAGATTTTCCGGCCTTTGAATGTAGTGTGTGGTGGAACTATAAGGGACCAGAATAATTCTTGATCTCTCTATCTGCACTGTCAAGTGAATTTTCAACGAGGTTTTCGATTGATCGCTCTTCTACAAACGCTTTGGAAAGATTGACTTGTGATGGCTTAATTCGGAATGGGGTTCGATAAGTTCGTTTCGATGATTTGCAATTCGCAAAATATTATTTTTCTGCATGATTCATGATAATTTATCCCTTTGACGAATCAGTCTATTTTCTTGAATATCTGCTTTCTTTGTCATTAATGACGCTCTCCGTTGATTCCTGTTCACACATTTTTCTAAATGTTTTGTAACATGTTATTACATGTACATCTGTTGTCTTGTTTTGTCGGATTTCATAATGAATTATATAAAATAAATGGCATGTTTCTTTACAACTAAATTTCAAATGTGACACCATTTTCCCTATTGATTTTAATAATGAAAGTAACATTCATATGTCTTGGTAGAAATTAAATATGTAAATACAGAAGATGGTGTTTGAGGTTTTAGAAAAAATTTCTCTATATATAAAAAGGATTTTCTGTTCTTATAAAGATCTCTAGCTCTACAATTCAGGGAACTTTGTTGACGAACAAGAAGATGGCGTTTCATAATGATCTCAGTGATCAGATAAGCCACTCCATGCAGCGGATGTGCAAAGCCACTGTCTTAGATGAGATCACTATGAAAATTTGCTTGATCAAGATCTCACGGGCTCTTCTTGATGCTGATGTTGCTACAGTGCTCGTAAATAATATGGAGAGAAATATCCAGAAATATATCAACACCTTCCTCCTGGATGCAAAGACGGAAAAATCATTCAGCGAGTGAGTGCACACTACAAGAAATTTGCCGGAAGACGTCACTTAATTAACGTCATTTCGTTAACCGACTTTAAAACTTTTAAATATAAGGGAATTGGCGTCGGTTTATTAACCGACTTAAACTCTTAATAGTGAATTAAATATAAATAAATGGCTCTTGAATAAATAAATGGCTCTTAAACTCTTAGGTTTGGATATTTTGTCAATGGTCTTATGTTGATTATCTTCTTAAAACTATTCTTATCTTATGTGACATGCCTTGAATTGGATCTTATGTGCTATAGGGTGGAGAAAGAGCAAGTTAGCATATGACAAGAGAATTGGGTTCGTATTCTTCATCCCATATCCTATGTTTCTCAAACTCCTCCTTTGTTTTGTTTCATCTTTGAGAGAATCAAGTAAAACTGAAACAAAAAGCTGAAGCTTGATTTTTTAAGTTCAAGTTACTGGTTCAGTCTTATGATGCTTCGTTTTGACTACAGCGAGCATTTCTAAACTCTACTCCATCATTTCTCCTGTGAAATGTTTGTCAGTGACTTTTCAGGTTCAAAGGTAGATAGTATGCAGGTGGTGCTACTACCTCTGGTTTGACATCGATTATGGCTTTCACTCTATGCAACATTTTATTTGATTTTCATCGTTCGTGATCCATGTGCTTGCTTCACTGTGTGACTTTAGAAGCTCCATTTCGTATCCCTATTTGACCGGGAATAGAGTTGTGTAATCCTCAGGCTGTAGGACTAGACAATGTTAGGCTAAATTAGGCTTTATAGTTAAGGGTTTTAAAATCCATTACTAAGTAGTTTTGTCTTAGTAATTGAAGATATGACCATTGTCATTCAAGTTCCTTTAGTGGAAATTTGGCCTTTTGTTGTTTCTTTGTAGGGAATCTCAACAAATTCAAGCTTGGAATTGTGATTATAAACGAGTTCAGTATATGATCTTGGAGAAGGCAACTGATAGTAGAAAGGGATCAGGTTAAAAATGATAAATATCTTTTGCATTACTGTATAACTTTTTATTCATTTTCTGATTTTCAGGTAAACAACCCATACAAAAGCTACGGTTGAATTTTCAGCGAGTCATGTGTCGAGTTGTAATAAAGATGTATTTCATTTGTAAGACAATTATATGTGTATATCAACATGTGTTTGGTTAATTGAATCTTTCTTGTTTATTAAATTTTTTTACTATATTTTACTAATAATGAGTAACAATAGACTTGCTCTAAAGAAAGAAAAAGAAAATTAAATGTAAATAAAGAGAAGAAAGAAGAAAAAGGTATTAACAGAAATAAAAAGAATAATTGCTCATAACGTCGTTTGTAAACCGTTGCTAAATGACACAAAACCGACGTTATTAATCTGACTTTAAACTTGATGTCGTTTATTGAAGTGACGTTGAAAATATTCACGTCGGCGAATGTTACGTCGTTTTTAAAACTGATGCTAATATGTTTACTTCGGTTTATAACCGACGTTAATCTTAAGTATAACCGACGTTAGCTGCCTTCTTTCTAGTAGTGGCAACTCTCAAAAATTGTGTTTTAATTTTTGATTATAATCTTTGTTAAATTTTTGCTTAAATTTGTTCAGGCTGCCTTCAATGAGCTATGCAAGATGTTAGATCCGGGAAAATCTGAACTTGCATGGTTTGGTTGCACATCGGGTTTACTTGGTTTGATGAATGTCTCAACCGTTTTGGTTATTACATTTACAACTTAGATTGGTTTTGGTTTAATGAATGTTTGTCCGGTTTGGTTTGGTTCAGTTCAGCTTGGTTTTCATGTCTACCCTTAATTAGTACAAATGTACTAGAGAAGTTTTCTTTTCTAGCTCGCTAAATAATTTTCTAAAATGCAGTAAATTCGTCAACTTTGAACGGTTACTTTATTTTTCAGCTACTTGGGGTTAAACCCTGCGAAGGTTGCCAGACAAGGAATTGAAAAGTTCAGGAAGGAGAATCGTGATCTCATAATTGTAGACACCAATAGTCGCCATAATCACTACAGTACTTCATTGTTTGAAGAAATGAGCCAAATTGCGAAAATAATGGTGTGTTTTCATGCTTGTTCTCTTAGATTTTTGTTAGGTGCTAACAAACATGATTTTTTCGTCTTAACAGAAACCAGATGTTGTATTGGTCATGGATAGTCGTATTGGCCAAGCTGCTTCTGCTCAAGCATTCAAGGAAAGTTTCCATGATGGATCTGTCATTCTCACTAATATAAGAGGCAACACAAAGGCCACTGGTGCTCTCAGCTTGTTAGTTTCCCACCATTACATTTTTTCTAATTTAATTTATAGCAAAAATCTTGTGATGTGTTCTCATATATTTAAATCCGAAAACTAGATGTTAATTGTTTTTTTTTTAATTAATTACGGATTTTGCCCTTTTTATAATGGCATTTATGGATTTTGCCCTTTTTTGAATAATTTATGGATTTTGCCCTTTTTTAGGCTCCAAAAATATGATTTAACATGCGTTTCATTCGTTATGTTTGGGTTTAGTCGGTTCCAGTTGTTCTTAGGGTTTAGTATTTGGTATAATGTACGTGTTTTTGCAAAAAAAATCATAAATACGTACATTTTTAAGTGTTAAAAAATGGCAAAATCCATAAATTATTCAAAAAATGGCAAAATCCATAAATGCCATTATAAAAAAGGGCAAAATCCGTAATAATCCCGTTTTTTTTTTCCCTCACGTTGCGGCGAAGTGTCCCATTTTCTTGACCGAAACAAGAGAGAATTGGACAAGATGTTTAAAGAATTTGATGTTAAACATTTTGTCACGAGTCTCTCATGTAAGAATTAAGAAACTTCCCCAGAAGCTTGAGGTGATGGGTTCGATGAATGATGATCTGCAGCGTCTGATGAGGAGACGCCTCATGGGTCTTTTTTTGGGTTTATTGTTTTGGTTTTCTCGTCGATCGGCATGACCGTTCCACCTAAATAATTATCTGACTAAGATCATCCCATAGTATTAGGCCTCTAATGGTTGTCTGTGTGTATGTCTAATGTATGTCTAAACAATTAATCTTGTATCTTTTTCTATGAAAAGAGGAAAAAAAAAAAACAGTTTTAAAAAAACAAAAAATAATAAAGAAGACTTGTTATTATCTCTTATGGCAAGAATCTCTCCAGATTTGGTTGCATAAATCAAATATTTAAAATTTTAAATATTCCTCTATATTTTTCTTCCCTTAAAATGTATTTTTACATATCTTTAGACTTTAGTGGTGATGAAGATTCTCTTTTCTTCTTTAATGGTCTAGTTGAGTTATTCTCTTTTCAATGACGATAACATAACCTGCTAAGTTATGATAAATACTTAGGCATGACTCTGGTTATGCTTAAACAAATATCATCTGCTAATTATTCAAATGCACAAACGAACATCCTCATTTATTGTTAATTAATAATAAAAAAAATTACAAACCAGATTATACTCTCTCACGAATGAAAGTTTAACGATATGTATATTAAAATTTACAAAATACATATATCGATCTGCGTTCTATACTTGTATCAAATTATTGAATTATGTGCCCTGTTATATGTGGTTATAGTTAGCTGGCAGTGTAAGTAGATTTGGACCATTTCGCAATTGGCTCTAACCTTTTTAAAATAGGGTTTTAGACTTTTAGGTTAAATCAAATTAGTCCCTCTCACATAATATAGGTACGCCAAAAGCTCTCTCATGCGTGTTTTAAATTTAATATCAAAAAGCTTTTGACCCGAATTTCTTTTCGCCAAAAAAAGACGATGACAACTACTAACCTTTTCTCGTGCTGCATGAATTAACTAATATCTTAGCCTTTTTTTTAACCTATTTTATTAGTTGAGTTATAAATTACTACAAGATAAGCATGCATGCACCAACGTCGTCTTCTTCTTTCCATCTTATCACAAAAACTCACGAAACAAAAGAGACGGAAACTCATCCGACAGTGGCAGTAATTGTTAAGGATTTTGGGAATAATTCATTTTTTATTTGAGAATTGTTTTTTTTTGGTAAGAAAATATAAATAACTAAAATAAGAGGCACAACAAAAGAAGGATGAGCTGGGAAGCACGTGTGAAGAAGAGAGAAGCACGTGCAACAAATACAGTGCAGGGTTGACCGGAGACCGTAGGGTCGCGAGAAGTGGGAGACGCACTGTCCCCTACACAGGCCTTCTACGACACCGATTTGCCTTTAATCAAAACAAAAACTCGAAATATTTCTTTAGATTTTAGATAAATCATTTGAAATGAGTGAATAACTCCAATAGCTAGAGCCTAGAGTCATGCTAAATAATAGTAGAATTTAATTGATTATATTTATAGTAAAGATACAAAAGAACTCGTATCATATATATACTATGATATGATCTGCGGTATACTGCGGGTTAAAATTTAAATAATTTTATAATTTTGACTATCTTGTTTATATTATATATGTTTTGTTTAACATTTAAAATTGTATAATTGTATTTTGATTGTTAATTTTAGATTTCATCGGTGGTATATTGTCTCGTAGTAATTTTAGATTTCACCCGTGGTATACTGTCCCGTATTAATTTTAGATTTCACCCCGTCTTGTCAAATTAAACATAATTTTATTATTTTTCTTTTACAACACTTTTATTTCTCAAACATATAATAAGAGTTAATTTAAAACTTTGCTTTCAAATGGTTTCATAGTAAATATATAGATTAAGATATAAAAAGTTTAATATTTGTCCAAATATAACCATTGATTAGGATTTCATATAGCTCCAAATTACATATTTGAATAATTAATATGAATATAACTTGGCATTTAATCCTGTGGATATTTCTTTAGATTTTTAAACACCAAGTAACTTGCATATATTTGTGAAAAAATTTACAACTAAATATTTTTTTGACATATGTACATGGCAAATGTTGAACATGGCAAATCATCATTTGTTTGTTTTTATCTTTTAAGATCATTTGCACAAAACATCAAATGTTTCGCATATTAAGAAAATATAAAACATGAAAGTTCATATAACAAAAAAAGCAGAAACAAAAAAAAACTTAATAAGTATTACTACTGTACGTCTGTACTATTTCACGGAAACAAAAAAAAGTTTAAAGAATTTAGTTGCCAGAAAAATGTGTTGATGAATGAAATGAATGTTGTCAACATTTCTTATATAGAAATCGTATTAGTTAGGACTTCCTACATTTTTACTTTTTTAAATTTAAATCAATAAATTCTTTGTAAATCCTTAGAATTATTCGTGTGAAAAAATGTAAAATGGATAGATTTTAAGAATATTCTAATTGTGTTCCTAATTTAAATTTTGGGATAAATTTTTTAATTTGTTAGATTGTTTGAAATTGGTGATAAGATAAAGATTATGGAAAAAAATATTTAAGACCACAAAACTTGCGGAAGAAGAATATTAAATAAGATAACAGATTTGATTTGTTACTAATAACTACATATATATACGAAATCATCATTTTAATTCCTTAGGATTTTTTTTAGGAAAGCCTCATATTATGTGGATCCGATAGACTTATTTACGGGTCAAAATCCGGGTCAAATTTTGGGTCAAAAATTAAAAAAAAAAAACCCGACCCAATTGAATTCTTAAAATGTATTTCAAAAATGTTAAGTACATTGTTTAGGTAATCTTTGAAAAACCAGTAATTAATTGAATTAATATGATCTTATTTTTTAGGTAAAATTTGAAAATCCGGTTTGATTACCCATTGATCCGCGTGATTAAAATGAATGACGTGGATTAATTATGTTTATGATTAGAGATTTGTAATGGAATGATTAAAATGAATGATCATAGATTAATTATATTTATGACGAGAAATTTGTGATAACATATAATGTAATTTCTTACACTTTCAATGTTACAACTTATTGATGTACTTCCCAAATAATAATATAAGATATATATATATATATATATATATATGATTTTAGAGTTGATTAAAAAAGATATAGCAAAAACAAATACATAAGACGATATATACATTAATAATGGACCAACCTTTTTTGTAATTGTTTAACACTTGGACCAAGCTGGACCCAATCTTAAACACTCATGTCCTCACTGTTCATTAAGATTCTCTGACCTTTTGACTCGTCCAATTTTTTCTGGCTGTAATAAGTCTTCATTTTATATTGGCGAGGTCCGCCGTCCGCCATTTAAAATCGTATTTGTGATGGTTGGGTATATAATTGAGTACTGCTTGGCATAAATTTGTAAATCAAATAAACAAATTAACTTGGTATATAAAACCTAGACATATGGTCGTGGGAGTTCGACTAATTTTAGTGCTTCTCCTCCCCAATTATTCGTTTGGTGTATAATGTGTAATTTTTCGGAAGTTGATTGGTCAATTGACGTTTGATTGTATTGGAAACATATTTTCTTATTATTCTTTGAATAACCAATTCTTTGTTTGTAAGTTATAGCCATCACCAGTAAATGAATTATAACATAAAATGCTATGGAAATAGTCACAATCCACCATATATAGCTTTTGGTGTAATCAGTTTTTTTTGAAAAATGATTGATTTAATACATACCAATGACATAATTTCAAAATAACGTCTCTTATTTTTCTTCCCTATAACCGGAAGAGGGGTGGACAAAGGCAAGAGATAATAATCACAAACTTCTTTAGTTGTTCCCATGAGGTCAAGCCAATGACAGGCAGATTCTGTTCTTCTCTTCTTCACTCAATTTTATTTAAGTAAATCAATACTATTCAAAACAAGAAGAAAATAAAAAAGAACAAAAACAAAAACAAAAGAAATAGAAAGAAAACAGACAATAATACGGTCCAAGTCCATGGATCTTATCCCTGCTCCCGAATTTATATGATTTTGATATAATTGTCTTAGAATATTTGTCTTCATTCGATGATTTATTATTTATCTTCAAAATAATTCTGTAAATTGTTGTACTTTCCCGACATTACATTTGTACAGAAGCAAATTTAAACTCCAACACAAGTTACAGTCTGAATTTTTTCTTTTCGTTTAAATTTATTTATCATGCACCACATTGTACCAACTACCAACCAATCACAAATGTTCCCACGAGACATATATGATAGTATATTCATCCATAACCCATGCAAGTCTTTGATTAGCTTCTAATTACTTGTAACCTAGGCTATTGTTTATTTTACCATGATGCAGTGGGCCAGTGGCTAGTTTTATTTCAATTGAGAAAAAGATTTTAGAGATAATTATAAAAACAGGCACTTTTTAGGAGTGAGATTCGAAAATTGGCATTGAAATAGTGAAAGGCCCAAATAAAGTTTAGTCGTCCACTGTTGCG